ATCGCGAACGAAGACATAAACATCGTGAAAAGCGTATATCGAAAAATAAGAAACGCGGAACAAAAACACGAAGGCCGTCAACCAATCAAATATCGCGATTCTAACAACAAACCATATATGGTTCACAGAGAAACAGACCTATCGTCAACAAACTGGGACGAAAAGGATAGAGAGATCGTCAGTCTGAAGAGAGTCCTAGCACAGATAAGTGTTCGATCACTGGAAGCAGGACGAAGGGCCATAGACGAAATCGTACATCTGAAAAATACCATCACCAGGATGCAAAAACAGATGGAGGCGTTACAACAGGAGACAGAAGATCTCAACCAGCACGCTGAGGAAACACAAGAAGAAGAAAAATCTTTGCCCCAGCAGAGCACACTAAAACATTCGCTCGAAAAGAGAGCGAATACAAAGAACGACCAACCGGAACTTTTTATTTTTTTTTTTTTGAGGCAGAGGAAATGCATTACGCACACCCCCGGGAAATTGGGACTTTCCCAGGGGTAGTGTGGGACTCTCCCCCCCCCGGAACTGACTGCCGGAGGGGGCCTACCCACTAAAACCTCTACCGGGCCCCAAGTGGCTATAGTGAGGGCGTCCCGGGAACCGCTTGCGCATAACTTCCAGGACGCCCTCGGCCGCAGGACGGGGTGATTGCTCCCGCCCCCTTCCTGGGTCGGTGGGGTTCCCCCCCGACCCATTCGCCATCTTCTGTGGCCGGACGTGGGCCCCCCCGTCCGGCCATACCTCACTTGTTGGGGCTTTGCTGGCCGGGCCCGGTCCCGTCCGGACCCGGCCCGCCCCAACGCTCCCGACCGAGGTTTACGGGGGGCGGAGAGGTCAATTTAGTCCCTCCGCCCCACTCGGTCAGGAGTCGCCGTTCTCGGGGAGGGGGATGAGCGGCCTAAGAGCCCGCCCTTGCAGACCGGCCGCCCTGTCCCCCTCCTGGAGGCGCCTGGTGTGACTGCGTGTCACAGGGGGAGAGGCGCGCCTTATTGCGCGCCTCCCCCGCCTATCCAGGCGCCCCCTATCTCCCCCCCGGCCGGGCCCTCCGTTGATCAGGAGGACCCGGCAGTATTGGGGGGGGGCGGCGCAGCCGCGGGTACCTCTGGGGAGAGAATGCCAGTTGTGACATCCCCCGCCCGCCGCGGGTGCGCCGTCCTTCCATGCCGCGTCGGTGCGGGGGTGTGCGAGGCGCCGCCCTCCTCCGTCGTCGGCGCCTCACTCCATCCCCAGGGGCTGCTTTGCCCCTGCGGACTCTCTTGTCCGCCTCATTCTGCAACACGACTGCGTCGCAGAAGGAGGTGACGGCGGACCAGCCCTCGTCTCCCCCAAGCATGGCCCTGATAAGGGCCGGGGGAGAGAGGTCCGCTCCCACCACATCAATTAGGACTCGGCGCTCGCCCACCCACGAGGGACATTCCTCGAGGGTGTGCTGCGCCGAGTCCACCTCAGCTCCACAGTGGTGGCAGCGGGAGGTAAGCTCCCTTCCTATCCTGTGCAGGTACTCACCGAAGCATCCTTGTCCGGTGAGTACCTGCGTCGTCCGGAATGACAGCTCTCCGCGGACCCTGTCAACCCATTGTTGTAGACAGGGCCGGATGGCCTCGGCGACCCTCGTTCCCGACCGGCCCGTCGCCCCCTCAAGGTGGAGAGTCCACCTAAGGAGGAGTCGCTGACGGGCCTGGTCCTTGGCCAATCCTATAGCCCTGGCCAGGTGTTGTTGGTCTCCCCCGGCACGGAGCTCCTTAACACGCCGATAATTTTCGGCGTGCATTTCAGCTAGGAGCTCCAGCGGGGGGAGACCGGCCAGGGCCGTGGCGGCCATATGTGACGTCGTCCTGTAGGCCCGGGCGAGGCGAGTGGCGACCCACCGTTGAGCTCGGTGGGCCAGCGCTGTAGTGCGCTGGTCCGTCGCCATCGCGCTCGCCCAGACCGGGGTCCCGTAGAGGGCCATAGAGTGGACGACGCCAGCATATAGCCGCCGCGCCTTCCTTTTTGGGCCGCCGAGATTGGGCAGGAGGCCATCCAACATATTGGCCACCCTGCCCAATTTGGGGGCCAGAAGCTCGAAGTGCTTCTGGAACCCCCATGTGCCATCCAGGACGAGTCCCAGGTATTTAATC